GTCTTCTGACAGTTGTGGCAGTGCATATTTTAACTGAAGGAAACTAATGACGATCTTTATAATATTCATATTTATTACTTAAATTGTATCTCTTTTATTTAATCAATTACTTTATTATTTTTCCTCTCTCTTCCGAGCCCCTCAGAGATCCGAGTCCGGAGATTTTCCCCCGGTATCTCCTCCCTCTCGGTGGGCCTGGATTAGTTAGCTTATATCTACTTCTAGCTGAAATTCCCATGTACACGTATTTGTAGATGACGTGCAGCTTTACCAATAAAGGTAACTTTATAGCTACCATAAGTGTATTTATATACGACCCACGATCGCACAGAAATGGGTAGAGCGTCTTTGGTTTTAAACTTATTTTTAATTCTTAATGTCGATGTAAATACTTAACATGGCTTAATTTGTGGGTAATATGTTTGATTGATTTTTGAATTTGGGATTTGAGTTTAAAACTTTGTTTGCCAATGAAAAGAGAGATAAGAACCAGTGGATATTTTGAGACAGTGTGTGTGGTTTCTTGGTAGGTTCTGTTTTTAAAATGTTCGTGTGATAGAGTGTAAGAAATTACTGGGATAAAATTACTTTGTAATATGTTATGATTTTTTTGACATTCCTGGGTGAAGACAAAAGTAGTCAGAATATATATTATTCGCTCTATTTAGAAGATTTAGAACAGGGTTACATTTGAAGGAGTTTGGTAGGAAATTGACGAAATGAGTGTATAAACCACGAAACGTGTCCTTACGGTAAACAGATCTGGCAAAGAGATTGTTTATCAAGAAGCACGGTATTGTGTTGTGCGGCCAAAACAACCTGCAGGACACACTGTGTGTTATTAACATGAGTGATAGTTTAGCGATTTTCCACTTTCTATAGCTCGCACTGTGGTAATCCAAATTATCACATATTTTTAATGGTTGTGCTCTACTGGACCTTTACTTCACATCCAAAATTTCAAGGTAATCCATTAAGAAATACACGAGATGTAAAATCTTCAATTTTGGTTGAATGTTGTTTCATCTTTTTCTTTCTTCTTCGCACCAAAAGTACGGACACTTAATTTGATAGAAAAACATATTTAACTTTTATGGATTTTTTTTTCAAATTTGGTACGCTAAGCGACAATTACGTGTCGTATTTGGTTTAAATAAAAGCCACATGTGAAAGTTATTTCAAAAAACCCATTTAATAAAAACATTTACGCACTCCTACGAAGAGTCACGTGAGCTATCGGTTTAAAAATTTTACTATAGCTTCACCTAAAGGTAAAAGTGGATCGTTTAGTTTTTGTCATTCATATTAAAAATGGCTGATTTAGAGCAGCAAAACTATAGGGAGAAAGCATGTGCAGATAAATAAGTATTGATTAGGCCAAGCAAACTAGATTAGCAGTTTCCTGCTCAAGTTTTCAAAAGAATCATACGAGTGGATGGTTATTATTCACTGTCTACTTTTAAACATAAATTTGCTAAGTTTTATGAAATTATTCTAATTAAAGAGCGTTTAGCGTCACATGATACTCACTTAAGCAATTAGCGTAAATAATGATGTTTGATACGCTGGTTGTACCGAGTGCTTGCGGATGATGGCAAGAAACTGTTAAACTAGATTTTATGGCGATACTATACACGAAGTTATTAACACTATTTTAGAGAGGAAAAACTACCATCATATATTTTACAAAGAATCTGGTTGGTTTTGTAAAGTACAGGTCTGTTCTGAATAATAGAGTTGCGATCCTAAAGCTAATGTTGGTTACTTACTGTGGTTTGTTGGTGTGTATTGACAAAAGGTCATGATACCTAATCAAAAACACCTTAGATATGAAAAAAGAGCTGCCAAAACATGTTAGAGTTTGTAATGAAAGGGGCAGTTATCCAGACATTGACGTTCCTAATAACATGGAAACATATTTACAAGAATCGGACGTAGAGGTGACCTGATCCTACCATCAATCCTCCTATCTGGTCATAAGGATGACCATTAAAAACGAAGATGTTCGATTATTTTTTGTTAGAATGCAGGGAATTTTTGGTTAGCAATAACAGTTTGATGATTATTTTAATTGTTTTCTCAAGTGGTATGTTAGTGAATAACAACTGAATATCAAAGCTGGCCATAACGAATTGGTTGTCTTTGGGAAACTTAGATATATCTTGAGCCCCCCCCCCCCGGTGGCATAGCGGTCTGTCTGCAGACTCACAACGCTAGAAATCGGGTTTCGATACCCGTGGTAGACAGAGAACAGATAACCCATTGTGTAGGTGTAGCTTTGTGATTAACTTCAAACAAACAAACAATTATATCTTGAGCAAAGGAAAAAGCCTTTAACAGTAAATTCGTTCTCAGTTAGTGAGCTTAGTGCAGATACAATATATTTAGCAAGCTTCTAGTAATGTTAACCAGGAATAGCTGGAATAGGTCTGAGGAGTACGCCATTTTTGTGTGTTTTCGATAAGCCATACATAAGACCGAGATGAGAACCTGTAGGATAAAGTTTTGCAAAAGTGGTGTCCGAAATGAGTTTATAATTTTGAAATATTTTAAAATCCGTTGAAGTTTTTCTCAAACTTAAGAGTAAGCTTAAGCCAATCATTATCGAGAGGTTTAAACTTTGTTCTGTCATTTAATTAATATATCTTCCTTTTGGAGACATAATCAGATCTGGTTAAGATGAAAACATCTGCACCTTTATCTGACCAGATAACAGAGATATAGGCGAGAAATAAACAATGGTGGGGGCAAGGTTTATTTAACCGAGCGAAGCGAAGAAATGTGTGCCACAAGCATACCCATTACAGCCGGAGTCGAGGTTCGCCTTAGAGTCCTGGAAGCTCTTGTATTCTAGATTAAATTTTATACATTCTCCTGCTTTTCCTGAAAGTATATTTCCTAATTTTTACTAGGACCGATTAAAAAGTGGAACTCCTCCCCTACATCATATGTCATTTCATAACAACAACGTTTCGATTACTGGCATTTTCTTTTAAGACAGAAACTCAACTCAAAGTTTACAAGTAGGTAGACAAAAAACCTAAACCTGTTGAGAGAGCATTCTTACGTTGTTACTTAAAGTAAGATCACTAAAATTAAAAATAACATTATCAGAATTTATGCCATTTGGTTTTCTCACTGAAATTAGTTTGTTAAGCTTAACATTCTTGTTGAGTTCAAGTCTGG